CCTGTAGAGGCCAGAAGAGGGGGTGGAGATCCCCTGGAACTGGAGTTACAGGACAGTTGTTAGCCACCATGTAGGTGCTGGGAATTGAACCAGGGTCCTCTGGAAGAGCAACAAGTTTTGTTAACCACTGAGCCATTGCTCCAGTCCCTGTAAGGTACTTTTGAGGTGCATGGTTCAGGTCTGTGTGGGCAGGAGTGCCAATATGGTTAAACAGGTTAAACAACAGGTTGTTGTTTTTAGCAGTCTTAGAAAAATGAATATTGTATTTGTGGAGACAATCTGTACTGATTTTGTCAGTTGTGTGAAGTGTGGTATGTGAAGTCCTCACAGCCAGTGAGAAATGGGAAGCCTAAGCCAGTTCCCATAGGGAGCTTTCCCATCATCTTACTATTCAGCCTCACAAAGACAGGGTGGACAGTGACCCTCCTCTTGTGGAACAGCCACCTGAGTGGAAACGAACACTTGCTTCCAGGAAGGAAACAAAGCAGATGGAAAGTGATGGAGGTGGTCAGGGAAGGAGCCGGGGGAGAGGACCCTGGAGCCGAGTCCTGTGTGTTGGCCCAGCAGAGAAGGTCTAAAACAACATTTTGTACGAAGAAGCATGGTCTTGGGGGCACACATCAAATGGAAGCAGCTCTGGTGAAGAAACCAGCTTGACAGCGCCCCCGGGTGGGGAGTGGCAGGAAGTGCCAGGGCCATGGTGTGAGCAGAGGCTGGGGTGAGGAGGGGTGGCCGAAGACCCAGATTCCCATCCCCAGGAGTGGCCGAAGACCCAGATTCCCATCCCCAGGAGCCTTGGGGGATTTGTGCTGTGCTCTGAGTTAGGCATGGAAGTTTGCTGCAGCTGGAGTGAGCTGAAGGACCGGGCTGGATGTCTGAGAAGCTTGTGCAGACAGGGCTAGGAGCTGGTGTCTGCTCAGCTGTGCTCAGGTGCTCGTGGGCGCCCCCGTGTGTTCGGGGTAGGAAAAGGGTTGGGAGAAAAAGGTGGGCTGGGAGTCAACTGAAAGACAAAGCAGTGCTGATGAAGGAACAGGAGAGAAGAGTGAGCCCCTTGAGGTGGGAACCGCCACTGCCTAATGACAGAGTCCAGAGAAAAGGAAGAGCACACCCCAGGTGATCCCAGAGGAGGCCGAGGATGGCCAGAGGGCAGGAAGGGAGAACAGAGGGGCTGCAGGAGAGAGGGGTACACAGCAGCTTAGGCCCCTGGATGAGACTCAGCAGGAGTCACCCTCTCACTGGAGGTGACTGAGGGTCCTCCCAGTGTGCTGTTTTAGGGAGGGACATTACAGAAGAAGAGGGCTGAGGGTAATGAGCAGGGGAAAGTGAGTCAGGAGGGTGATGCTCTTGAGAACTGTGATTGATTATCATGGGTGGTAGTGGGAATATTTCCCAGATGATCCAGTGCCCACTGCCAGCTCCTGGAGGGCACATCTGGGTGCTGCTCCCTCAAAAGACGTCTGGTATCTGCTAGGGCCTAGCACACAGTGGTGCTCACCAGATGGGAGCTGCCGTGGGAAAACTTGGCATTTGACTTCTCTTTCTGCCTCTGGTGTTTGCTCCTAGCAGGCAGAGCACTGGTTCAGCACTATCTAGAGAGTGCTATCTCATGGCCCCTGTACCTAGGCAGAGCTGGGCTGGGCACAGGCCCTGGCATCTTTCACTACTGGCCAGGGTATGCTGCAGGGGTGGTCTCTACCTGCACCTTGGCAGGCAGACTAGGGAGCTAAGAGCCACTGAATAGGAGAAGCTGAGAAAGGGTTCATAGGAAGCGGTGGTAGATGCTTCCAGCTCTTCCCAAGAGCCAGGCAAGTGGTGCAGGACCAGCCTGTGCCTGTGAGCCTTGGGAAGCAGGTGGCACAAATGTTCATACAGATGAACCTGTCACAGATGTCCCACTCTTTTTTTTTCCAGATAGGGTCTTACTGTGTAGCCCTGGCTAGCCTGGAACTCACTATGTAGACCAGGCTGGATTTTATCTCAGAGAGATCCACCTGCCTCTGCCTCCTGAGTACTGGAACTTAATGCCATCACCTGGCTAGAATCCACTTCTTACACAGGGCCCCTTGCAGGGCAAGCTCTGTTGAGCCTTTACCCAGTGCCCCCCACCCCTAATCTGGGGCCTCATCCCTCTCCCTCATGACCCTGTGGCTTCTCATACACACCCCCGGAACCCACAGCTCTCCAGGTGGCCACCTGGCCCTTGGACTTCCAAGGCTACCCAGGAGCCTGTGTGGGTGGGCGAAGGAACTACGGTCTGCCAGTGTTCAGCCCTGCTTCTTCCTTTTAGGGCAGTACCAGAAGGCTCATAGGAACCTTGTATTGTTCTGAGGGTGAGTAGGCTGGGCCAGCAACTCCAAAATAGAAACAGTCACTGGGAGGAGAGGAAAAGGTTTATTAGAAGCTTGTCATCAGAGTAACCCAACTCTTAAACCTGGTTTTGGTTGGGGTTTTTTTTTTTTTTTTTTGGTCTTTTTTTGAGATACAGTCTCCCTGTAGCTCCAGCTGACCTGGAACTCACTATGTAGACCAGGCTGGCCTCGAATTCACAGAGATCCGCCTGCCTCTGCTTCCTGAGTGCTGGGGTTAAAGGCATGTGCCACCACACCCAGCCTGGTTTTGGTTTTGCTGGGCTAGAGAATGAACCTAGGGTCTTGAGCATGCCAGGCAAGGACTTTTCCACTGAACTTTGTTCCCAGACCCCTATTGACTTTATTTTTGAGATAGGTTCTTGGTGAATTGACCAGACAGGGCTTGAACTTGCAGTCTTCCTGCTTCTGCCTTCTGAGTAGCTGTGATTACAGATCATGACCAACAGGCCTAATCAATTCTTAAATCTTACCAAAGGTGCTAGACCCAGGAGGGAGAATACATACCTCCCACTCTACCTATACCTTCTCTCCCATCTCTTTTAAAAATATTTTTTTTATTATTGGTGTTTTATGTGTATTCATGTATTGCCTGCATGTATTTAAGTGTACCCATGTGATGCATTGCATGCAGAGGACAGAAGAGGGTATCAGATCCCTTGGAACTGGCATTCTGGATGGTTGTTCACCACCTTGTGGGTGCTAGGATTCAAACCTGAGTCTTCTACAAGAACAACCAGTGCTCTTAACTGCTAAGCCATCTCTCCAGCCCTGTTTCTCTCTCTCTCTCTCTCTCTCTCTCTCTCTCTCTCTCTCTCTCTCTCTGAGACAGGGTCTCCCTGTAGCCCCAGCTGGCCTGGAACTCACAAAGATCGCCTGCCTCTGCCTCTTGGGTGCTAGGATTAAAGGTGTGCACCACCACGCCCAGACCCATCTCTTTTTTAATCACTTCCATGTACCAAATGTGTTCTTCATACCAGTCTTAAGCTATGCAAGTGCTCTACCACTGAGCTACATCTCCAGCCCCCCTCCTTGGCCTCTCTGTGCAATCCAGAGACCCTGGAAATACAAATGAAGAATCAGCCTACCACACTATGTTTGTTTTTAGCCAAGGATAACCTTGAACTTCTGATCCTCCTGCCTCCACCTCCCGATAGCTGGCTGGGATTACAGGTGTTTACCTCCCACACCGGGTTTTACGCAGTGCTGCAGATCAAACCCAAGGTTTTGTGCATGCTAGCCAAGTACTTTGCCAGCTGAGCCACATCCACAGCCCTGTGTTATCCTTTTGTATGATGGGTGGTTTACAAGGGTATCACCACAAACGTGCACTGCCCTATGACATTGTTGGTCCCAAGCTATTATAGGACCATTATACTTTTGGGATCACTGTCTTTATGGTCTCCTGTTTACCTAACCATCCTTTGTGACCTGGATTCTGCATGCCTTTCACCTGTGAGATCAACAGAGACACTGAGGGAGAGGATAAAAGGTTTGCTAGCATTCTATTCATTCATTCATTATTGGGAAAGGGTATCACTATATAGTTCCAGGCTAGCACAATGGAACACTGTAGTTTTTACTAGCATTGACCTTAACAATATTCCTGCCTCAGCTTCCTGAGTACTGAGATTATAGGTCTGTTTCATCATATCCTGACTCTTTGTTAGCATTTTAGGTGTTGCTGTTTTTGTTTTCAAAAAATTTTTAAAATTTTTTTTATTTTATGTGTATGAGTGTTATGCTTGCATGTATGTAAGTGCACTCATGTCATGCAGTGCCCAAGGAGGACAGAAGAAGGTATCAGACCTCCTGGAACTGGAATTACAGAAGGTTGTTAGCTACCATGTGGGTGCTGGATTCGAACCTGGGTCTTCTGCAAGAGACTCCAGCCCCAGTTTTTGTTTTTGAAGGGAAAGAAAGCAAAGTTTATTAAGAACTAGAGTAATAGCTCCCTGCCGTAGCAGCAATATTTGGTTGTTGGGCTTTGTTGGTGGTGGTATTTATGTGTATGAGTGTTTTGCCTACACGTATGTATGTACATGGTGCACATGCCTGGTGCTGGTGAAGGCCAAAAGAGGGTATCATATCGTCTGGAAATAGAGTAATAGACAGTTGTGATCTGACGTGTGGGTGCTTGGAACTGAACTCGGATCCTCTGCAAGAGCAGTACATACTCTTAACCACTGAACCAACTTTTGTTTTTCTTAAGACAGGGTCTCAAGTAGCCCAGATTGGTCTCAAACTCACTATGTAGCTGAGGATGACCTCGAACTCCTGATCTTTCTACCTCACCTCCAGAATGCTGAGATTATAGGTGTGAGGCTACCATACCTGGCTTTTGTTAGCATTTTAAAATGACCTATTAAAGAAACCTCAACCAAGTGTAGTGGAGTATATCTGTAATCCCAGCTGTTGAAATGCTGGAACAGGAGGATAAAGAGTTCCAGATCAGCCTGGACTACATAGTGATATCCTGTCTCAAGGTAGGGACACCTGAAATCTCATGTTTTGAGAGTGGGCCTGGGGTCTTGTCTGACAGACCAGGCCAGGATCTTCAAAAGTCTGGTGGAAAGATGTCTCTTTGTTCCCCATCTATAGACATGGACATCCTGACTGCCTGTCTCTTCACAGGACAAGGTTGTCTCCCACCTGAAGAAGACAAGTCGGGTCCCAAGTGATGCCCCTGAGCTGAGTGCCTGTGGCCAACGTGAGGAGTCCCATGGCGCCTCCTCTCTTCATGGAGAAAGGATTTGCTTTGTCCCAGGACTGCTGGGACTTCGTGCACAGCCTGAAGATGAGGAGCAAATATACCTTGTTCCTGGTCTTTATAGTGATAGTTTTCATCTTCATTGAAAAAGAAAATAAAATCATATCCAGGTGAGGGACTCAACCACAAATCTCTTTTATCAAGGTGGGGTGGCTGAGGACAGAAGTGACTCTAAAGCTTCCTGTGGACCAGGACACATATACCTTCAATAAGGAATCACCAGGACCCTCCTGTGTCTTAAGCTGAGGTCATGAGCATAGTGGTAAAACAGGCTCCACACATGGGCAACCCAGGTTGGCATCTGCATAGTGGCACTGCCCAGCTGCAGTCAATTAGGCAAAGCACTTCATTTGATTGAAGTGGTTCTTCTTCATAACTTTTGACTAATGATGCAGCATGCTTTGTTGGAAATATTAATTAAGAAAATGCAAAAGCATTTTGCTTATAGCCCACTACATAGCTGTTGCCTGGTCTTTGCTGGTTGTGACTACAAATTATTATTACTTTACTTCCTATTCTAGAACTATGGCACATCCCCTCTACAAGTCTTGATGTCACGGGTAAGGGTGAGCTCATGGGAAGGCAGGGTCCTGGTATGGCTACTCTGGTGGGTAGGGCCATCATGGACAGCTGCCTGGGTCGTATATCATTCAATTCCAGGGGAGTGCCCCTCAGGTAGGCCACTCTGGGAATGTCCCCACACCTCTTGAGTTGGCAGTGTACTGCTATGAACAGTGGGCCTTCTGGATACAGAGCCATTTCATAGGCCTGATCTTCTAGGCACAAGACCTTCATGAAAGCCCCATGAAAGGACTGGACTGTACAGCAGCCCACCTGGTCCTCCATGTGAATAATCAACTCATGCCTCTGCATACCGTTGCAATTCTACCTGAAAGCAACTATACCCACTTGCACCCAGGCAAGCCAGAAGTATCAGGGGTGTAAAGCACCTCTGAGTCCCCTAGTGAAAGTGAGCCTTATGTGCCTGCAGGGGTGACCCCCAGGCAGCCCACATTCATGAACTGTTTCACTTCCCTACCCAGTCCTCCCTGGGTTATGTGCCAAAGAAACCACATTCAAACCCTAGCCTCTAGGTCTGCTCTGGGGTAGCCCCAACTAAGACAGACTTAGAAGACTGTTTACAGTTGCACAGAGGACAGTCCCCTCCCCCTCCCCCAAAATCATTCACTCTTGCTCTTGTCCCTTTGCCCTTATCAGGGTCTCAGACAGGCTGAAGCAAATCCCCCAATCTGTGATGGATGCCAACAACACCGACCCAGCCCTGCTCTTGGCGGAGAACGCATCCCTCTTGTCCCTAAGCGAGCTGGATTCTGCCTTCTCCCAGCTGCAGAGCCGCCTGCACAACCTCAGCCTGCAGCTGGGCGTGGAGCCAGCGGTGGAGGCCCAGGAGCCAGAGGGGGTGGCAGAGAAGCCATCCCAGCCTGCCAGCTCAGGACCCCGGCGTCACGTGCTCCTCATGGCCACCACCCGCACGGGCTCCTCGTTCGTGGGCGAGTTCTTCAACCAACAAGGAAATATCTTCTACCTCTTCGAGCCGCTGTGGCACATCGAGCGCACGGTGTCCTTCAAGCCTGGAGGCGCCAACGCGGCGGGCTCGGCGCTGGTCTACCGCGATGTCCTCAAGCAGCTGTTTCTGTGTGACCTGTACGTGCTGGAGCCCTTCATCAGCCCGTTGCCGGAGGACCACTTGACTCAGTTCATGTTCCGCCGGGGATCCAGCCGCTCGCTCTGCGAGGACCCGGTGTGCACACCCTTCGTCAAGAAGGTCTTCGAGAAATACCGCTGCAAGAACCGCCGGTGCGGACCCCTCAATGTGACCTTGGCCGCTGAGGCCTGCCGCGGTAAGGACCACATGGCCCTCAAGGCTGTGCGCATCCGACAGCTGGAGTTCCTGCAGCCGCTGGCAGAGGACCCGCGGCTGGACCTGCGTGTCATCCAGCTGGTGCGCGACCCCCGGGCCGTGCTGGCCTCGCGCATGGTGGCCTTCGCGGGCAAGTACGAGAGCTGGAAGAAGTGGCTGGTCGAAGGACAGGACCCGTTGAGGGAGGAGGAAGTGCAGCGGTTGCGGGGCAACTGCGAGAGTATCCGTCTGTCGGCAGAGCTGGGCCTGCAACAGCCCGCCTGGCTGCGGGGCCGCTACATGCTGGTGCGCTACGAGGATGTGGCGCTCAGACCCCTGCAGAAGGCGCGCGAGATGTACCACTTCGCGGGCATCCCCTTGACCCCGCAGGTGGAGGACTGGATCCAGAAGAATACCCAGGCGGCCCACGACGGCAGCGACGTCTACTCCACGCAGAAGAACTCCTCGGAGCAGTTCGAGAAGTGGCGGTTCAGCATGCCCTTCAAGCTGGCTCAGGTGGTGCAGGCCGCCTGCGGCCCGGCCATGCGCCTCTTCGGCTACAAGCTGGCGAGGGACGCTGCTTCGCTCACCAACCGCTCCATCAGCCTGCTGGAGGAGCAGGGCACTTTCTGGGTCACGTAGGGGGGCCCTGGGACCCCTTGGACCCCTCCTCGTGAAAGGTTGGCCCAGCTTTCCTCATACCCAGGCCGGCAATGAGTCGCAGCAAAGGCAAAGAGCCAAAATGGGGAGCTCTGATTGGAGCACAGCCCCTCCTCTAGCAGTAGCGCCCCCCCCACCCCCTCATCCCCCGTCCAGCTAGCCTCCCCTGGGGCTCCTCTGAGAACAACACAGTGCCCTGTCCCTTTGACCAGGCTGGTCACACCCACACCTCAGAGCCTTCAGCGTCCTGAGTAGGCCCAGATGTGTTTCTGCTTCTGCCTGTTGATCCCCCGTGGCTCGCTTTCTCTCACACACAGAAACACACATGAAGCACAGAAAAGCCTGGAGGCTGTGTGGGCCAGAGTCCAAATATTTAACGACCAGAAGTGGCTAGGCCCTCGATAGTCATTCAGACCTGCTGTAGGCGGTGTTAACCTTTTCCTATCTGAGACAGAGAAACCTGGGGCCTAGTTGGGTCCTTACAAGGCAGAGGGCAGCCCAGGGTGAGGAAGAGGGCATTTAAAGCTCCCAAGGTGACAATGGCTGTTCACCAATCAGTACAAAATGATTTGATTCCCCATTCTGTGTAGAACAAAACCCACAAATATATATATAAAGACCCTAGGGCTAGGGGGTGTGGTTCAGTGGTAAAGCCCTTGCCTAACATGCACAAGGCCTTAGGTTTGGTCCCCAGCACTACAAATACAAGGTAAAACAAAGCATACATACAAACACAGCACACAGATGAGAACACACATATACACATGCACACACACTCGTAGGTACAGAAAACTTTTCCCATTCTTTATGGCCATAGTGTTTTTCTCTATCACATTCCTAAAAAGGAGCTTTCAAATATATTTTAGAGTTATTTGAAAGGGCACTGCTCCCTGAGCAGGGCTGGGATTGAACAGTTGCCTAAGCACTGACCCCTGAGTGTCTGGGATTCTTGTGGCTACCACCTCTGACCCATCCACATGGCATGACTGGCAGGCAGCATGTTTACAGGTGGTATGGTCAGCCTTCAGATGACTGCGTTCCAAAGGTCCCATTGAGCTCAGCTCACTGCTCAGGAGCATGTCCATATTCGAAGGCTGCCTGGGCCTGACCAGCAGACCCAGCTTCAGTCTCTAGAGGCAGTAGACAGCTCACAGACACTAGTATGTCCAGCCAGGCTTCCCTCATCTGGGGCTGGCCAAGAACTTCCGCAAGCTCTGAAAGAAGTCACATCAGGGCTCACCCTCCCTGAGCAGCCTGCCTTTTCCCTCCTGGTAGACAGAGGTCAGCCAGTGAGTTGCCATGGTTAAACTAGTGTCTAAAAGGAATGTCTGCTTTAAGGTTCTGGGAAGAGGCTTGCTCAACTTGGAATAGGCTGGGGTTTTTTTTTTTGTTTGTTTTTGTTTTTTTAAGTTATTTATGGCTTGGTGCTTTTTTTGTTTTATGGCTGTTTTTGGCCTTGTTTCTTTAGGAGTACTGCTCAGAAGCAGCTGGGTTTGAGCTGAGGAGGATGGGGAGGCCAACAAGGAGCACTCATTTCCTGGCAGAGGGGAAGACCAGAAAGGGGGCTTTCCCTCAGGTATGATCAGAGCCACACAGAGGCCCGAGGCTGCCTACAGGCAGTTCTGTGTGAACTCCATGTGGACTGACTCTCAGAAGCCACCAATGAGGCTGGAGCACAGTTAGGAGAATACTTGCCTAGCATGCCAGAAGCCTCAGTTCTTAGTACTACACAAACCAGGTATGGTGGCACATGCCTGTAATCCCAGTACTCAGGAGATGAAGGCAGGAGGATTCAAAGTTAAACGTCATCCTCAACTACATACTGAGTTTGAGGCCAACCTAGGCTACATGAAACCTTAACTTTAAAAAAAAGGCCACCAGCATTCTTTCCAAGTATCCTGAGCAGTCTGTATTTCCCCCTGGAGAACAAACTATGTTTGAAAATCCCTCATAGAGTCCAACACATATCCTGGAGGGAGGGGAGTAAAGTGTGGGAGTCCAGCTGGCACTGCTTCGGAGGAGGAACCAGTGACCCAGCAGGACACTGCAGTTTTTGAAGGTGAGGACACTGGCCAACTTGTGGGTTCATTATCTCCCTGGTCACTACGGGGTCCCATGCACAGGGGAGCTTCAGTCCTTTGAACAAACCTTTCCTCTGGGTTTTGACAGTCAAAGAACAAACTGTGCAAGAGGCTGGCTCTTATTTGGGGTCAAAGGGACACTAGCTCTTGGTACTTGATAGGGACAGGAAGCTGTGGGTAGGCTCAAGAGTGCCAGCATCTTCCCACTCCCTCCCACTATCCCCACCCAGGCCAGGGTCCTGGCTCTGTTCCCCACATGGGGTGGGGAGGCTGGTCTGGGCACCTCTTTCCTTCTTTCCTGCCTCTGGGGCCCAGGCCTCCATCTCTCAGCTCTCTGAGGACAGTTCCCAGAATGGATCTTTGGGACTTCTCAGGACATTGACAATGTTGTATACGCTGCAAATTGACTTTATTTATTTTGTGAAAAGAAGAGACTGATAATATTATTTGCAAGGGCTCAAAGCTGTACCCAAATCAAGAGGTACAGTAATAATAATAGGAACCATTCACATGCCACACACATCAGGACACCTGGAGACAGTTCTGAGGACGAGGCAGGACCAAGACAGTGGCACCAGCTCATGGTGACCCAGAATGCTAAGGAGGTTCTGCGACTTCTCTCATTAATCTGAAAAAACCAGAAGAGGCCGTTTTCTGCTATGATACCTTTGCTCAGGTGTCTGAGATAGGCGTGGCCTTGAAACAGCCTCTTGAGGCTCAGCAATCTGGTATGAGCCCTCAGGTTTGGGGAGGGACAGTATAGGGGTAAATATTGGCTGTATCCACTGGGCATGTGCTGGAGTTGTGTTTTAGGGCTCTCAGCATAGAGCTGGGTGGAAAACGTGATCCTGCCAGTGGCATGGGGGCAGCTGCTAACCCAGCTCCAAAGAGGAGCGGGCACCCAAGGGCCCATCACAGTAACATCCTTTCCTACCATTTTGGTTACCACGGAAGGGGCTCCAGCAGGAAGTCATGGGTCTCTGTCCCTGATGAGCAGCCTGGCCTGTGTGGTAGGAAGGCAGCAGAAGCACTGAATGGCTTGATCCCAGCTCTAGAGATCTGTTAACCCTCTCTTGTACCAGAACCTGTTTCAGTTGAACGTGGGCTTATCCCTTGAGAGGTCCTGGACTTTTAAGGATAGAAGCAGAAGATTGGGTGCCTGAATCCTCTCCTACGACACCCACAAAGGCAGAAGATGGTTCAAAGACAGGAAGAGCAAGGGGTGGGGTGGGGATCAGACCCTTGAAGAAGCCAAATGGGTCCTGCCAACCTGTCTGCACCAAAAGAAACAACATCACTCAAATCAAGGCCCCAAATTGGTGTGTTGTTTGTGAAGACCTTGAGGTATGGTTCAGCTTGATGGGAAGGAGGAGATGGGTTTCCTGAGCACAACTACATCCCCTCCCAACTTCCCACATTCTCAGAGAGACTAGAACCATGCTTTACCTCAAAAACATGAGGCAGAACTGGCAACTTCCAATGCCTTAAGATCCTTTGACCTGTATCCTCTGTCATTACATGGGAACAGACTCCTTATGTGTTTCTAAGGACAGAAGCATGACACTATCATAACTGTCTTAGCTCATGCTGCAGACCAGCTGCTTAGTGGACAAACAGAATGACCATATCACATGGTTCTGCCAACTTTGGGCTTGAACTTGACCCCCTGCGAAGTTCCCATCTCACCTGCATAGTCTAGTCTCTGTGCCTAACAACTGTCCTCCCCTCCATCGTGGGCCCTACAGATACTACCTTTGGGCCTAGACCTGGACCCTGCGTCCTGCCTCACTGCCACACAGTACAGGACATCCCCTTCCCAGCCCGCACAGCCATGACATGTACATATATGTTCACATGTATGTACATACATGTGTGGTACATTCTGCTCTGCCTCTGGTGCTGCCCCACATGGCCCCAGCTTTCTTGCAATCACTATCCCAGATGTCCTCACTGTGGTCACAGACAGCCACAGTCAATCTTTCATCTCCTGGAAAGGCCAGGCCTGCCCATCTGAGAACTGGCCTGGTGCTCAGGGTCTGCTTTGTGAAATAGAATGTGAACCCTTTGCCTGGTGGCTTACCTGACTTATTTAATTAAAAATGGAAACATACAACAAACAAATTTTGTACTGATTCTTTTCACTTGTTCTTATCAATAACTGAGTGCTAAAAACAAACAGGAGAAAAACCATTAATAGGAATAGGAAAGACTTCCAGCATGTTTTTCCTACCCATGCTCAAAGGTTGTAGGCCCAAGAGGAACATGGGTAAATGTGGGGGGTGGTAGCTGGAAAATGTTCTTTGTGACCCCAGGATGGCCAGACTAGTGCCTGTGCTTGGAGGAGCCAGCTAAAAGCATGACATGAGGTATTAGGGGCAGAGACAGGAGCATTAGGGCAGCCATCATGGAATCTGTGACAAGGTCCAGCTTTGTCTGACCTTGGACCAAGTCACTTGCCTTCTCTGGGCCTCCCTTTCCTTTAGGAATGAAGGGTATAACTGGCTTACAAACACTGTCATCAAAAAGTCTCTTTAGAGATTCAAAAGTGGGCTAGTTGAAGGATAGATCCATTTTACATGTTAAGCTTGTGATTTCATTTTGCCTTCAACCAAACTTCAAAAACCACAGGAGAAGCTGGGGACTAGTGTCACACACCTTTAATTCCTGTACTCAGAAGGCAGAGGCAGGCAACCTCTGTGAGTTCAAGGCCAACCTGGTTTACATAGTAAGTTCCAGGCCAGCTGGGGCTATAGGAAGACTCTATCTCAAAAAGATAAACAAAAACAAACACAAAACAAAACACACAGGAGAAGATGTCTAAGGACCTTTTCAGCTAAGGAATGTAATAGAGTTCTTTCAAGTTGGAAATGCACTGCTCTGCCATAATAACTTTAGTGTGAATTAGAATTCAGCCCTGTATTGATCAGTTTTCTGTTACTGTAGCACATACCTAGGATAATCATCTTACAAAGAGAAAACATTTATTTTGGCTCACCGTTTAAAACATTTTGGTCTATGATTGGGCCAAGCCATTGCTTGTAGGGCTCTAGTGTGTGTGTGTGTGTGTGTGTGTGTGTGTGTGTGTGTGTGTGTGTGTAGTGGTTACATCATGACCAGGAAATGATAAAAAGAGACTGGGGCCCACTCTCGCATTCAAGAGCATGTCCCCAATACTTAAAGATCTTCCACTGGGCCCCACCTCTTCCTGGTAACACCCTCTGGGTAATAGCACTTTAACTCATGAGTGTTAAGGGCTCTCAAAGATGCAAACTGTAGCAAATCTTGTTTTTTAAGATTCATCTGGATGAAATAGGCATTTCCCCAGGGAGGGAGATGGGAAAGTTCCTATTGGGACACAGGGAGACAGAGCTGGGGTAGTTTGTGAGTCTGGGGACTTGGGGACAACTGTGGAGAGGTGGGGGAGGGCTGAGCCCTGAGGATGGTGGCTCCTGAAGAGAAGAAAGGACAATGGTGAGGCACAGCATGAGTGGAAGGGACTCCCTTCCCAAAACTCAACCACAAGCCTCCAACTTCTCACCCATTTTGAGACCCTGACAAGTTATGCTGTTTCCACATCAGCCCTTAGTGTTGTAGTCTGCACAGTAACCCCCAGCCTGCTGTCTCCCTCTAGTCGGACTGTCATCTGCTCTGGATTCAGTTAGCTTAGCCTCTGGGCTGGGCTTCCTGTCACAAATGACCCCCTAGAGAAACAAATTGTCCTAATCACAGGGCATAGAGGCCTGGACACCCATCCATCAGTCTCAGCCACCAGCCCAGGCCAGAAACCACTTTCTGCCTGCCTCCCCTCTCCTGCCACCCACCACCCTGAGCCACCTGCCTAGACCAAAAGCCACTTTCTGCTTCCCTCTCTTTCCTCCCATCCCACTCAGAGCTCTTGACCCTTCCTCCCCTATACCCATACTCATTCAGCCCTGGAAGGAGTGTGGGCACCATGAGTTTCTGGGATAGTCACCTAAAACCATTGAGGAAGCGTTGATCATCAGGGACCCGTGGCAAGCCACCGTGGCCCAGCCTGGAGCCTGCAGCAGAGTGTCCCCATGTACATTTTGAGGGGATGTGGTCACAGCTGCTCTTAGGAAGTTACTGTGTTAGTTTATCAAAGGCACTGAGAAGACCTGATTCCTCTAGCAAACAGTAAGGATTCCTCCAGAGAATTACCCTCCCTCTGCCCCCTTTTCCTAACTTTTTAATTTGGTCTTTTTGAAACAGGGTTTCACATAGCCCAGGCTGGCTTTTGATTCATTATATAGTCAAAGATGACCTTGAACTTCTGATCCTGCTGCCTCTGCCTCTACCTCTTGAGTGCTGGGGTTACACACATGCACTGTCAGACCCAGTTTATGTGGTGTTGGGGATAGAACCCAGGGCTTCATGCATGCTAGGCAAGCACTCTACAAACTGAGCTACAGCCCCGTTAACAATCTATTTTAAAGAGCCATTTTTATGGGTGAAATCATCTTAATGATTTTTTTTTCCACCCTAAACCAAAACTATTTTAAAAGCTCCAACTTTCTATAGAACCGTCTGAAACCACTTCAGCAAGAAGAATTAAGATTCAGAGTCACAATCAGTAGACACAAAGGTGGTCGTGGGGAAGTGGCTGGGGAGGAAAAGACCAGGGTCACATTCGAGGGCCCCACCCACCTTTGTGCCATCCCCAGACAGGGGAGGTGGGAGAAAGCTGAGACTGGAGTGGCCTGGGGTCACAGTGGATCAACATTCGTGACTTCAACAACTCAAACGTGCCACTTCCTTAAGACCTCCTGTCACCCAAAACCCCTGGTCCTTGGTTCGTCAATTCCCATGGGTGGGCTCTGAGTTAGGCTGGATGCTGTTTTTCAGAAAAACTGCCATGCAAGATAGCCCTTAGAGAAGCCATTTCTGAAACAGCTAGACAGAAGTTAGCGATAGTGAGTGCATTCTCTGGAGTCTTGCTTTCCTAATTAGTGAACCCTTCTCTGAACATGCTGCCCAGTGTAGTTCAAGAACAGGGACGGGGCACAGGGGGTGCAGCAAAGGCTGAGCAGGAGAAGGCTGCCTACCCGTGAAACTCTCAAAGGAGGAAAGGGAGAAAAGGAAGGAGGAGGGACAGGAGGTAAAAACAGGGAAGGCTGTTCTGAGTCCAAACTCCTGAAAAGGACAGCCACAGCCCTTAATGAGCCAACATGCTCGCTGACTTCCCATGTACACAGTGCCCAAGAATTTAGGAGACTCCCAGGGTCAGAGCAAGCCTGGGCCACACGTGGTCCTGCCCTCCACTGGCCACAGGCCAGTCTGCCCCTGGGATGTGAACATACCCCACCACTATTTGATTTTGTTTATAGCAACTAGAGACTAACACATTAAAGATTAAGGGTCTTGGAGTGTGTGACTCTGTTGGCAGTGTACCCACCTTGCACACAGGAAGCAATGGGTTCCATCCCCAGCACCACATATACCTGGCATGGTGGTGCACACCTGTGATACTAGCACCTGGGAATAGAGACAGGAGAATCAGGAGTTAAAGGTCAAGTTCAAGGCCCGCCTGGACTCCAGCCTGTCTCAAAAAAATTTTTTTAATTAAGTGTTTTCTATGACAATCATATTTTTGTTTCCTCACAAACATCAAATATCTGGGTCTTACACTGGCAGCAGCCTTCGGCAAGTGTTTGGGAGTTAATTATTTATTTGCAAGTCTAGTAAAGGAGGGGGAAGAGAGCATCCCACAAAGGACACACTGTTAGCCAGCTACCACCTTGTGAAGCTGGAGTAGAATCTTCCTGAAGTGATGCAAAGCCCACACCATAAGATTTCCCTACCCATGGGGGAGGTGAGAAAAGTCTAGAACTTTGCCACACCAGCACTCCAGGAGGGCTGAGGCTGTACTTAGAGTGTGTAAGCTCCCCAGTGTTGCCTGGAAACAGCATTTCAGAATTCTAGAAGATGTGAGCAAGCCCAGGAACAGAGAGACAGGTGGTTGGAAGCTTCCAGTGAACACTGAGGTGTGAAGAATGGGAAGGGGTTGGATAGCCCTGAACCCTGTGGTGATCTGTGTGGGTCAAAGGACTGTACTTTGGGGAAGCAGCAGCCCCTTAGAGGAGCAGGGTGGAGTCACCATCAGTCCCTTTGGTCTCCCCAGGACTGAGGCAGTCAGTTCATGGTCATCAATCACAGCACTTGTGTGACATTCAACTTCCAACAAGAAGTCTGCAAGTCCACGACTATCCAGAGTGACAATGCCTCTGCCATAATGCCGTTCATGTGTCAGCCCTGTTCATTGGGTGTGCTGGGCAGCTTTAGTGTGAACTTGACACACCTGGGTTGAGGGAGCCTCAGCTGGGGAATTGCCTCTATTGGACTGGCCTGTGGTCACATCTGAGGGCATCTTCTTGATGAGTGATGTGGGAGGCCCAGCCCACTGTGGGTGGTGCCACCCCTGGGCAGGTGGGCCTGTGTTGCATAAGAAAGCAGGCTGAGCAGGGGCCAGGGGAGCAAGCCAGTAAGCAGCATTCCTCCATAGCCTGTGCTCCAGCTCCTGCCTCCAGGTTCCTGCCCTGAGTTCCTACCTTGGGCTCCCTGATGAACTGTGACCTGGGAGATGTAAGATAAATAAACCCTTTCCTCCCCAAGTTGGTAGTGGTCAGAGTATTTTGTCACAGCAATGAAGAAACAAACCAGGACATTGGGGTATCTTCAACGACTACTTTACATTTCTGCTGGGTGCAGAACCATAGCCTGCATTTGGGACAAGCCCACCTGGGCCCCTTGCCACTCAGTCATCAGGAATGAGGTAGGTGGTATGGAACCCACCTCCTCTGCCTGGGTCTGTCTTGTCAAGACACCAAGGAACTCAGCCATCCCATGGCTGAACAAACCAGGACATTGGGGTATCTTCAACGACTACTTTACATTTCTGCTGGGTGCAGAACCATAGCCTGCATTTGGGACAAGCCCACCTGGGCCCCTTGCCACTCAGTCATCAGGAATGAGGTAGGTGGTATGGAACCCACCTCCTCTGCCTGGGTCTGTCTTGTCAAGACACCAAGGAACTCAGCCATCCCATGGCTGTCTCACCATGCCCAACACACACACACACACACACACACACACACACACA